CGGGTTGCCTACTGCACGCCTGGAGGCCAGCGCCCGGCGGCGACCCATAGGCAGTCCCGTTACGCACCCGCGCGCGCCGGGTTGCCTACTGCACGATTGGAGGCAAGCGCCCGGCGGATGCATCTCTACCAGACACAAGGTTGCTTCCTTCATCTCCCGCTGCCTCCGCAACCCCACGCCTCGGCCTCTTTGCTCCTCCTGCATCCATCCTGATCTCTGCCTCCTCTGCTGCCCCTCTCACACCAGGTTAGCCGGCAATCCCTCCGACAAAACGGCCGCTGCCAACAGCCTCGGCCACGGCAACCAAAACACAACAGAAACAAGCGCAAGCAGCAACAACACGTGAAAACAGGGAGGTGGGGAGTGCGGTAGTGGTGGATGTGTGTGTGTGTGTGTGTGTGTGTGAGGCGGCGAAGAACACGTCTACAATAGCTAAATCAACACGACACCCACGCGCGCGCCTCCAACCCCACACGCACACACACACACACACACCCTCCCCAGCGTGAAAAGGAGTTCTCTGGGTCCGACACACACACACACACACACACACACACACAGGGGGTACAGCCGTGAAGTTCGTCTTCCGCCCCACCCATCCTCGCCCCTCCCACCCTACGCCGCGCTGCTGTCGCCCTTTCGCCGGGATCCCTTCGTAAATATTTAATTCGAGGAAGTAAAGTAACCCATTCCACGGTCGGATACAGACGGCGAGGGGGAAAGGGAGGGAAGGACACGGGCAAGGGAGGCAGCGAGAAGCATCGCCGAGAAATTGGGGAAAATGGGAAGCACAACACGAGAGGGAGATGACGCGAAGCATACGGAGAGAAATAGAGAGCGAGCGAGAAAGAGGACGGAGGGAAGGAGGGAGGGGACCGGATGCTCCCTTTTTCCAAAAACGTTCCTTCCTCTCCAGAGGCTCCTCTGATAATCAAGGGAAAAGGCAGCGAAAGTGGTTAGAGTTGGGCCCCTTGATCGCTTAGGTCCTCGCGGTTACCCCATAGGCTCAGCACACCTCCTCGACAAGCTCCTCCTCTCACTGCCACCCAGGCGCTAAACTCAAAGGTGACCCCCCCCCCCTCCTCCGTCACACGTTATCGCCCAGCCCCACCACGCCACGCCCACGTCGTGCCCGACAGGAATTTCTGCTCGTTGAGTCGAAGCAAATTGTCTATAAATTTCTTCTTCTGGCCACTCACCGCGCGCTCTAGAGACGCTGATGGCCGAAGAGGAACGCAGTAATTAGGCGCTAGCTCTCTCTCTCTCTCTCTCTCTCTCTCTCTTTCTCTCTCTCACATTGGCACCCTCGCGACTGAGTGAAAAGGTTGTCCCTTCCTCCCTCCTCTCCTAGGCCAATGAGCGAGAACTCTGTTTATTATGCTGCGATCCCAAACCGTGCCGCGGCCGCGAAGGAGCGCACGCCGGGAACTCACGCGATGAGTTCTCGCATGCATGGGAGAGAGAGAAAGAGAGAGAGAGAGAGAGAGAGAGAGAGAGAGAGAGAGAGAGAGAGAGGGTGGAAGGGGGATGATAGAGAGCGCGCGAAAAAAAGAGAGGGTGGGGGGTGTCGTATCTGTCTGCCTGGCGCCTGGGACTTACGCCGGTGTGCCTTCATCACACAACGACCCGCGGGGCGTGCAGAGGAAAGGGGATGAATTAGCCGCGAGGAAAAGGTGGGGTTTGGGAGAGGGGAGAGGGGGCTGAGACTGGCTGTTAGCGGAAGGCCGCAAAGGCGCTGCTCCTCCCCGTCTGCTTCACACCGAGCCGCGCCACCGCCGCAGCAGCAAACCGCGGCAGCCCCGCGGCGCTACCGGCAAACCGCGGCAAAGAGTTGAACCAACAAACCGCACAGCTGATGCGCCCCTTATGACGTACAAACAACAACAAACAGGAGTCGATCGGAATCATGGGAGGGAAGGAAATGTAGCGGAGGGGCGGGGGATTTACACTGATAAAAGTACACGTTGGACTCCGAGGTGTTGTGTTGTGCAGGTGTCAAAAATGTAACAACCTCAGGGTGAAACTGATATGTTCAACACTGCTTTCTTGTGGTACAGGAAAAGAGTTGAAAGGCATGGCGCTTGCAAGAGCTAATAAAAAGTTAAATTCAACACCTAGAAAAACCAGAGAAAGAGAGGGGAGTGGGTAGCATGTTAACATGACATGATTTGTCAATAACAGCTAGGGTTCGTAGTTCTGACAAAGGTAGGTCCCCGTCCGTCTTAAGTACAAGTAAAAATACTGCATACAAATTTCAACAGGGACAATCTGTATTGGGAATAAACGTGTAGTACGTTGACGGCACAGCACGGTCTGGTGGCCAGCGGGGGCGGGGGCCAGCGAGACTCGGGATGCCGCTGGCAAGCAGACGGGAAAATGCCTTGCTGAATATCAACGCTCTGTCATAAGGGAGGGAGGCTTTATGAATAACCCCATAGTACCGCGCTGTGCCTTCCCTTGGACCGGTCGCTCTACAAATAAATGCAGGCTATTTGTTGTGGTCGCGCCGCGCCGCGCCGTGGCGGGGCGGGGCGGGGCGGGGCGGAGCGGCTCTTCTTGCCAACACCAACACCGGCACACCACCACCACACCGCGCCCCGCCGCGAGTCGCATCGTATAAGAAACAAGCTCCCGCGGCCGCCGCGCACCGACCCGGCTCAGGGGAAGAAAAGTGCGCGCCGCCCCACTAAATCATTACACCGGGCCCCAGGGCTGGCGAGACCTCATCACCGCCACGGGATGGAATCAAAGATTTGGAGCTACACTGTCTCTGTTGAGGCAATAAACCCGTAACATATCTTTTTAAGGTTAGCACCTCTTTGCTTTTCCAGGGAACTGTGGCAACAACAGTGCGGACATTCCCCCGTACGTTCACTGTCCGGGTGGAACGAACTTGACTTGGTTTGGTACTATATCGCCGAAGTATACTATATGTAATCTGAAAGTATATAAGAGAACCACTAGTTTTTTCGACGCAGTTTACTTCTAGATGAATTTTTGTGTCGTTTTCCTCATGAGGTATACTTTAAGGTAACTTTTTGGCTCTTTATCTTTACTATTGATAATTAAACATCAATGTATAGTTTTAGGTATGTTCGTCCCACCTGGGTGATGAAACCTTCCAGGAGATTTATTTTTAATGCAAATGATTTGGCTGCCTCATTGTAAGCAGTTTTCTCGAAAGATTTTTTTCTGCACATCAAAGAGGTTTGTTACAAGTGCACAGGAGAGCACCTGTCCTATGCTCTTGCACAGGGGTACAACGGTGTTGGGGTTTTCAGAACGGTGGTAGGTGGGAGAATCAGGGAGAGCCGCGTATTTCAGAGAAGACGTACGCGCGGGATATAGAAGTAGAGTGAGAGAGAAAGAGAGAGAGAGAGAGTTAGGGAAGTGAATCGGCGAGAGAAAAATAACTCGCGTGACAGATCAGACAGCGCGGTGCGTGTCGGCCGGCGACAAAAACACGTGTAACGTTGTTAACTTGCCGCCTCCGCCCCCACCCCCGAGGGGGGTGCGGGGGGCGGCACCCCTGGGGGCCCCGGGGGCAGCCGTCGCGCCCCTTCGGACTCCCCGCGGGGAGGTCCGGGCGGGAGGTCCCCGCTCACTCGCGCGACGCCCGCCTCCGCACCAGAGGTGCGCGGAAGGGGTGAACACAGAGAGAGGGAGAGGGAGAGGGAGAGGGAGAGGGAGAGGTAGAGGGAGAG